GTCAATATTTTTTCTACTTACAGTTGTCAAATGCCCTTTTCATCTAGTTTTTTGTTTAAGAATGTAAGGTTTTTTTCAAGCTGTAAGGAATAATATTAAAAAGTACCGCTTTATCAATGGATATTTACAACAATTTCTACAGTAGTATCTCAAGGTCTGTAATGCTCTATCATTTATGATATAACAATGAATTAATAAAAATAATATATAAGTTATATGTTATATATATATATATATAAAATTAATTTTTGTTTTAGGGTCATTAGTATTGGCAAGATTCTATTCCACTGTTTCTAGTTTATATTCTCTTAGTAGTCGTGGTGTTGGTTTTTTCTGTTTAAATGAATGATTATATGAATGTATGTGTTTGTGAACAAATGTTTGTTCACGCTAATTTTTTGCTAAGAGTTAATAATCGATAGGTCGTTTTTCCAATGTGACCAAGAAAGAAATATTAGAGTTTCGCATAGATCTTGTTTTTCTTTAAATAGAAAGAAATAAAATAACGAACTGGTTTTAACTACTAATCAAAAATCACTTGATTTATTTACTACATGCTTGAAGAATGAATCAATGAATGAGCAATATGCATGAATGAATAAATTATTTAACGATTTTTTTTAACTTTAATAAAAATTTATTTCGCATTTCTCGTTAAGGATAATTTGTGTCAGGCTTCTGAATTTATTTATAATGTGGAAGTATTTTCTGAATGTAGACACATAACTTAGGCCACATTGAAGATGTTGCAGGTATTACATACTTTATATTGACTTGACTTTCTAAAGTCACTGCACTATCTGTCCTCTTTTTTTTTGTATGTAGTAGTAATAATAGTAATATGTGTGCGTGTTGCTGTCTGTGATTGCATCTGTGTTTCTGTGGATGGATGCATGTTGTATTGTTTTGTTTCATCATTATTATTCTTATTATAACATAGAAGTATATATATATATATGGCAGAATTCATCTCTAAAATTCTAAATCGCAGAATTCATATCTAAAAATAGAGCGATTCGATAAGAAATTGTTCCTCATTCTGCCTATTCTATGATACATTTACTTCGATTTTTCTCTCAGAACGAAATTCTCTCTACGAGACTAGACACGATGATTAACAATAAACGTTTAATTAATATTTCCAATCGAAAGTTTTACTATTTATGATCGATTTCACTATATCTTTATCGTTTCTTATATTCCATATATGAAATTCATATATAATGTATTTATCTTATCTATTTTAATGTTGTAATATTAATAATAATAATAATATTAATAATCTATAATCATCATAATAACTGGACCTGCCAGCAATGTATTATATATAACCTGTATACACAACGAAACTTTACTCAATTTTCTCTTTCATTTATTAATTTATTTCTTTAATTTATGTATATATATAATTGTTTGTTCCATTTTAAGAAATATGAGATACAAGTAAATATAGTATGATAGACGATAAAGATTTAACGAAATATTTGATTCTGATTTATAACTTTCATATTTTTTTTCTTTTATATTTGTTTAAATGCATTTTTCATTTTACTTTTTTCAATTAGTTTAAGTGTACATACTACGCGGATTGAATTAATACCGAACGAAGCTATTATCGCATTAGATTAGATTCGAAAATGTTCATATCTTATGATACAATTAATACAAACTTTTTATCGATGTTATTAAAACTTATTATACAGAAAATGAAATTTTTTTCGCTACTACATTTATATATATATATATAATAGCTTTTGCATCTGTCTACGTCAAAGCTTAATCATCAAGCATTATATATTATTTTCATACGTTAGACACGCATTAACAATTAAAGAGAAAGAGAAAGAGAAAGATAGACAGAGAGAAAAGTCGCATGTACTTGTTACAAATATCACAAAGCACGCTCATTTTTATTTACATACTTGCTTGCTCTTTATATTTTTATATATCTAAGTATATATTTAGTTGGACTATTATATAAACGCATATTGAACTTTCCTTCGTTCTAATTGAGAAAATGTATTGAATAATTATCTTTCATTCGCATCGATGCACTTAATACCACGTAGGTACAGTTGTAGATACACTTATTAGGAACATGTTTCTAAAATCATATTTTTTATAAGCAAAGAGATATAAAGAAAAAATCGTTTTTTTGTTTTCTTAATTATTCACGACTCGAAATTATGATTTTTTAATTATTATGTTTGTCTTTTTTTTCGTTTACTATTACGCTGAAGGTACTTTTGATTAATTTTATCCAAATTTTGCTAACAAGCTAAAAAGATTTTTTGCAAATATGTATAGACTAGAAGTATGTAGAGACTAAAAGTTATTAGATAGAATATAGAATTTTTTAAACTTGTAGTTTATTTGTAGTTGAAAATCATATCCTGTATATGTATATGAAATCAGCTGTAACGTTTTCCGAAATGATATGTAAGAAAAAAATGTATATAATTGATTTCGTAACAAACAATTGTGTAAGAAAATTCTTAATTGCTACTAATAAAAAAATTATGGCACGAGTTAGTTAATCGATATTAGACTAATGCTGCCGTTTATCGAGGAAAATTATTATCTGCCGTGAATATTATTCAACTTATCGACGACAAAAAAAAAAAAAAAGAAGAAAGAAATTATGTTTATTGGAAAGAACTGAATTATTAATTTTCCCTATCGAACGCGATATATTTTGTTTTACTGTTAGACTTTTTATTTAATCCTTTTTTTCTTTTATCGTTTTTTTGAACACAATCATACTATGAGGTAATTAAATGCACTACACATATTTTCTCTTTCTTCTTATATGTATATATATGTATATTTATATTTGTAATATAAAATATTAATCGAATGAACTTTGTATTAACTTTAACGTTAATCTTGTGACGAATGAAAAAACTATGATATTTCCGTCATATAAATGTATAGTCTTTTTAAAGATATAGAATAGTTAATCGATGAATATATTAAAAAAATGAAAATTCATATATTATATATATCGTAGAAAAAGTTGATATGTTGAAATGAATAAATAGAAAAAATAGTATCATAAATAAAAAAAGAGGTTCGTATTTATATTTTGAGCTTTTTTTTTGAAAAAGTCATTATCGAAACGAACGTTGAATTCATTCAATCTTTATTCTTTCGATATAATTAAAAAATATTCTTTTCCTTTTGATTGAATTTCATTAAAAGTAGCGATAGACGTTTGAAATAATCTAAAGAACGATATGCACTTTCATAGATCACATCTTAGCATTGATTATCAAATTTTCAATAAGAAAGCCAACAATAATACGGACTTTTTTTTATATATCTCTATATTCAAAGATATTTTTATGGTTAAAAAAAAAAAAAAAATCATTAATGTCATAAACAAGAAAGTCGAGATTACGATCACCGCATCAATATATCGTTTCTCTCTCTTTTTTGTTGATATATTTTCTTTCAATGTAGAAATAAAATCTAAGAGACAGAGACGGAAAAATCCAAAGTACGTTCGTACGTATATATATATATATATATACACACGCGTATACATGTGTAGTTTTGTATTACATATATATATGTTGTATATACGACGAAAGCATCGATTATCTGGACCATAGCCAGAAAATAAATTGCATCAACAAATCAGAAATGAAATCTTATATATGTTTTCTTTTTTTCTTCTTCTTCTTCTTCTTCTTCTTCTTATTCTTTTTTTCATTCGTCGCTAAAATATTGTACAACTTGGCCAGATAATCAAAGTTTTATCAGTACTAAACGTGTAAAGAAAGCACACAAGAATGATATTTTTATCGATAATCTCAAAAAAATGACTTTCTTTCTTTCATTCTTCTTCATCTCTCTTCTTCTTCTTCTTCTTCTTCTTCTTCAAAGTGTTGCACCATTATTGGGAGACGACATTCTTTCGTTGACATTAGCATTATTGTTGTGATTCGAATTAGCCCTCGTTAAAATTTCTGTTTTATTAATCCTCGTCTTTGTAGTATCACGTGGTCCATTGAGGAAATACGTTATCATACTGCCTTTTCCTTTAACTTGTATACTTCCACGACAAATAAGTGGATAACCCTTGGCCAATAGAATATCGTGAACCTCTCGGGTGACCTGAATCCTATCCAAAATTCCAGTAGAATCCATTCTCGAGGCCACGTTAACAGCGTTACCCCAAATGTCGTATTGCGGCTTTCTTGCACCTATCACCCCGGCAACAACCTGTGCATGTAAATATACGTCTCTGTTTTTATACGTATACGCGAGTATTTTTAATGATTATAAAAGTATAACAATAGAAGGTTTAACAATAAGTAAAGTTTAATAATATTAGGGATATTATATATACCGGCCCTATGTTGATCCCCACACGCATCCTAAAGTTGTTGAAACTATGTTCATTAACGTCTGCCAGCTGTTTGCGTATTCTTAAAGCATAGTCCGCCATGGCGGTCACATGTTTGTAGTCCCTCATGTCACAGGTGCTTTTCGTCAGGCCTAATGAAAAGGAAAACGATTTGAAGGCGTTTATAAATAGCAATACTTTTAAATGTATAAATAACGGACATGCTCACATTATTGATTCTTCATCGCGTAACTGTGTACGTTTTTATTTACTTATCCTTAAATGCATCTATATAATATTGTCGAATTACAATGTAATTTGATTTAATGCGGGATTCAATTTTGCTCATTTTTTTTTTTTTTTATTTTAATTTCGGAAAAATAATTAAATATAAATGCATCTCTCTCGAAGGATAATAGAATAATATTATTTTTACTTATATGGTCAGTGATTTTCCAAATAAATAACAATTTTGTATCCAACAAAAATGAAAGGAAAAAGAATAACGAAAGAAGAAAGAAAGCAAGAATGTATATATACGAACCGGATGCTGCCATATAGGTGGCACCAGTACTTTTAATTTTCTCGATGTACTTGAATTGTTCCTCCGCTAGAAGCTCGTCAAAGTCTGCGATGATTTCGTTTAGAAGTCTGAGGCACTCGACGCCCTCATTATTCGCCTCTAACTCGACATAGAACTCCGAAAAGTTTGGTATTGAGGCGAACATTATGCAAACGAAATCGCATTGTTCGTGATAGAGTTCCTAGAAAAGCATGTGCACTTCGATTACAACGTTGTACTTGCATACGATGCGACTATTGAAAATTTTATTTTCTCAAAAATCCGTTAGTATATACTTTTTTCGCCTTTATTTTCTCTATCCTACTTACATTTATACGAAATTAATTGCTTTTGTTACTTTCACGAGTTCTCTCTATTATTATTCAGTTTATTATTCTTGGATATTGTCAAATACGTTTTTTTTTTTATTTGTCAACGTTTTCGATTAATCAAATTGATTAATTAAAAAAAATTACTCGTGATTGCGAATCCACCAAACGCGAAAAAGGTAACTAACTGTTTTTTTTTAAAATCACTTAGGGACTTTTAATGTATTAACAATTGTTACGCGTTAATTATGGTGTATTCGATATTACGAAGTTGATTAATCAATTATCTTACGTCGGAATTAACGGTGGAAAGGAAATGGGCAGCCACGTGTTCTGGTAAAATATTCGCCAATAATTTTTGATTGTAGGCCTTGAGATGTTCCATCTCTTCTTTCTCCTCGGTTGCTTGAAGTTTCCATAAGAAATCTAATCTGTGAAAAAAGAAAAGAAAAGAAAAAAAAAGAAAAAAGAATACATTTATTTAATTCTCGACTTTGAATCAATTTTCCAAATTCATGGTAAATATTTCTACATGCATGTAGTATAGGGATAACAAATGTTAAGTCCAGATTATACGATTTTTTATTTTTATTTTGATCATTCTAAGGAATAGGATTACTGTAAATAAGTCTGTGTGTATAAATTTGTAATAAATTGTGAATAAAAGTTTATGTGTAATCATGTCATTTAAAAATCGTTTCTGGAAAAATATGCGAACTGTGACTAAACATTTTTTATCCCTTTTCATTTTATTTGTATTCGTATTTATTAATAGTACTACCTGTATGTAGCTTCGGTATGTTGCGAATGAACGACCAGACACGCCATAAAAAAAACTACCAGTACACCGGCTAACCATTTCTCGGCAGGATCAAGACTATCATCGTTAGTGGCTTGATAAATGCTAACACCTAAATAACAGGTCACGACAATGCCCAGTACAGCGACTTTGAGAACCGAAGTTAAAATTTGATATACCGCACAGGTCACCATAACTAACATCACCAGAACAGGAAATAACTGTTGAGATAAAACAAAGAAAATCTGTGGGTTAATTTTATAAGGGATTTTTAAACATGCAAAACCCATAATGTTCGTTAGTATGTACGATTATGGAAGAATTTATTTATCGGAAACAATTTCTCTCTTTTCCTTTCTTTTTGTTCCTCTTTCTTCTCAAAGATAAATATTAATTACAAGATCTATCACGTTTTATAATTGTGTGTGTAAATGAGTTCTTGGTAGTGTCGTTTTTCTAATTAAAAAATATGAGAGATAATCTTTAAAATTGTTGGAATGAGATCAATAATTTTCATTTCACTTTAACGCGACAATTTCACACAAGTCAGTAATAATTGTTATATTATTTTGAGATATATAGAGGAATTATTAAACAATTAATATAAAGATGGGATAATAATTTGTCGAAAATAATAATACATTTTAATTGTAACTCACGTCGGAGAAAAGAGAATAGTAACATGGTCCATCTTTTATTTCGATTCTTTCAACCATTACGGTCGAATTGTTAAGCCATTCTGTGCTTGCAGTCAAATTGTTATTTCCACATGCTTCGCTTCCATCTAATTTTATCTGAAACGAGAAGAGAGAAGAACAAATTACGATAGGAACGATTAGTTGTGATTCTCCTGTTGTGTGTTTCCTGTTCTACGACAAATTATCTTTCTCCATACCTATCTCTCTTTCTCTCTCGATTGTTAGATAATGAAAAGCGATCGTACTAATTACCATTACTAGCCATTAGCTAGATAAAACGTATTGAATTACTGTTTCTACGTGGAAAGGGTTACGAATAGATAATGTACAAATAGAATTAGAACGAGAGAAAGAGAGAAAGAGAGAAAGAGAGAAAGAGAGAAAGAGAGAGAGAGAGAGAGAGAGAGGAAGTTGTAATTGTTTGGAAAACGTTAGATGAAAAACTTTTGATCTTGTTTTACACGTACCTTGGTTCCAAAGTAATTCAAAAGTTAAGAATCGGGATTAAATTGAACGAAAAAGGATGTTAGAAAATATTTACGAAATTTTCAACGCGCGTTTAAATTCTAACAAAATAATTCTCTTTTCTATTAAGAAATAATCATAAAATTACTCACCATGGGTGAAAGAACAGTGATGAAAGTTAAAAATACAACGACAGTAGCGATGCTTTGTGCAATAATTCGATTTTCAAAAATCCTCACAGCAGTATTCCTTACCCATTCTGGTACCGTCTATGATCAAAGAAAAATAAACCAAAAAGATAAAATATTGAATAATATAATATACAATAGTAAGCCTAATATATATGTGAATATATGAAAATGTGTGTATCCATTTGGAAAGAAGATGAAACCGAATTCGACGGATAGCGATCATGTTGAGCAGCTATCGGAGGAGGATAAAAGTGAAATCAATTCGTAGAAGAGTCCCTATCATCGAAAACATAATGGACGAATCGATAATTTTGGCACTGACCTGGAATCTCGACAAGTAGTCAAGGTTAAGAGGAAGTGGCAACTTTCCAAAGAGTTTTCTGCTACGATCGATCCAACGACGAATAACCGTGTCATAGATATTCTAACATTTTCGAATATGTACGTCTAATGCATGCTAATGTGTGTGTGTGTGTGTATATGCTCGCGTAGATATTTCTATATCTATTTATATTTATATTTATGTATGTATGGGAGCGAGGGTGGTGTATATGATTTATTTCTCACGAATGTGCACGATATATATGCATCAACTTTAGAAAAATGTAGAGATAGATATACGAGAAGAAACATTCAAGTAAGAATACATATGTATATATGTACATTACTATATACATATTATATACATATTATATACATCTAGCATATAACCACCAAAACTCACCTCGTTTTTCTCAGCAAGTAGAATGCCATTTACCAAAGCTATCACCAATACGCTCACGCCGGTGCACGCGTAGAAATATATACTCCTGAAAAATGTATGATATATATGGTGTATAACCATAAGATCAAAAAAAAAAAAATTATTACCAATCGATGAAAAGCAATATATGCGTGGGGGCGTGTGTATTTATGTGAAGGGGTTTCTCTCATTAAATATAGTCTAATATAAATTTAATATATATCTACAATGAATATGTGTGATCACGATATTAAATATACAACTACTTGGTAAAAAAATATTAGCAGAGAATGTGAAATAATTTGTTAATATATTTACCCGGAAAGAGTAATGGCTATAGCAACCACAACAACCATGTAAACGAAACCAGAACAAACAAAGTAGGCGGAAAGCATCCTGTCTCTTTCTCGTGAATACTGAAACACATTACCGGTTTTAGTTTATATTTTATTAGAGAGAGAGAGAGAGAGAGAGAGAGAGAGAGAGAGAGAGAGAGAGAGAGAGAGAGAGAGAGAGAGAGAGAGAGAGAGAAACAATTAAAACCAAATAATGGGATGGTTGGATAGAAGATAATTTTATATGGAAAAATTAATCGAAACAAAGAGTAAAATTTTGTTCGTTTGACGATACATATGCATATTGTGGATCAAACGTTTCTAGATTGTTTAAAATATGAATTAATTTGATTACAAACTTAGAGACTTTTGATTCACCATTGTATTCACCATTGTACAATATTATAGAAAAAAAAATTTTTCTTTAAAAATTATAATTTTTATTTAATTATTATATAGGTACTGAAATATAATTCGGAGGATTTATTAATTCAATCTAATCCAATCCAATCCAATATATAGGTCATTTGTATTATAATATGTAGAAATTAAAACAATTTAAATTAAATTGAACTTTCCCATTATTTGGTCATCTCTCTTACTAATTCGTGATATCAAAATGAAGAAAAATAAAATGAAAGAGAAAAAGGATATTAGTAATAGATTTAAGCCGATTATCGTTTTACCTTCTCTTCGACATCAGGCCTTCGAAACGTCAATATGAAAGGCGTACAATGTTCAGCTCTTAGACGGTCAATGCTCCTTGCGTCTATAGCTCTCATAAGATATTCATTTACTTCATCTTCTGGATCTTTTTCGCACTCAACACTCTCACCAAATCCTAATCTATTAAGAAAGCAAAAAAAAAAACACGTAAAGTAGTTTGAAACAAGAGACATCAATAAAATGATTACTGTTCGGCCCACATTTTTGTCTGAAAAGTTTGTCTCTTTCTTGGATATATTTGGCTCGGTGATTGCGAAAATACGAACAATTGTAATTTATCATCTATCATTTTAGGAAGATACCGTATAAAAAGCTTTATTTTTTAATATCATTAATTGTACATGTGATCTGATTTATTTGTATACGTATCTAGAAAATTATTGATACTTGTTAAATCGAATTAACACTAGAGACTCTCACAGTATTTCCCATTTACGCTAGAAAATAATTTAAAACAAGTATACCTTATTATTAAATGATTATTTCTGCATTCACCAGGATATGGCATTTTTCAAAAACTAGAGTTGTAGAGTAATACTAGTGATATTTTCGGAATCAGCGCATCAAATATATTCAAGAATAGATTTAACTTCCCAAACAATAAATCAGCTATCTTTTTTTCCTAAACTATGTAATTATTGAAATCAAATTATTTTGAATGAAGGTATCAATAGAGAAATGTACAAATGAATTGATCGTAATTAATTGTCCGTGAAAGAAAGATAAGAAATCATTGGTATATGTTTTTACTTGGTTTGTTTGCCATGTTGGGATCCATGACCCATAACCCTCATTTCCTTTGACACGTTTCCATTTATCGTGAATCCTTTTTTTATGCCAGATGCAGGTACATTGTCTTTATAAGTATCGCCAGGAACGATTAAATAAGTTTCGATATTGTGCTCCTTCAAATAAGAGTTTCTCTCTTCGCCACGTCCCTCCTCGACCTGGTAATATCCTCCCAAGCAATCCAAGGTCTCTTTTGTAATATGCACTCGACTGAAAAAAGTGTCTGGCTAACGTCTATCGACCTTCTTTTTCTTTTTTTACTTTATTTTTATAATAAAATAATATAGAATTGTTCTTATTTTTTAAAGAAAGTTTTTCTAATACATTATGAATGTTATATGACCCAAAAATTAATAGACGATTATATTATAATTTATACTAATTAGAAAGTATAATTAAATATATTTTAATACTACATTATGTGCATGTTAAATATAATTAAGTAAAAGTATGTAACAAATTAAATTATGTATCAATAATAACTATAGTATATTTTGTATCACAGTGGTAAATATTAATTTTTGGGTGAAATTAGTTTTTGATGAAAGAAACAAAAAGAAAAAATATGTACTATGTGCTATGTATACTTATATGAGTGTGTTTTTGTAAAGTAAGATAAAGTTACTAAAGGGTTTATATTTCATTTTCTTCTTGAATTATTTTAACACAAGTCATTCGACAGCCAGAATAATGTATATTTTGTTTCCGACTCACCCTGGTATACCACCGCTTTCCATGTAATTAGCCAAAGTAACATCGTTACTCCAAACATCGAATTGCCATTTCCTCAAGCCTAGAACTCCACAAAGTACTCGTCCAGTATGAATACCAACCCTCATATTTACGTTTACTGCCATTACTTCGCGTACCAGTCTAAGTGAATTCAAAATCAAATGATAATTCTTTTATAAAACTTTCGAAATATCAAAGATCAAGAGTATATATTATATAACATAAACCTATTTTCTTATAAAATCCCAGAAGTATGATCACTTTATTCAATTCGTTTAATAATCATGCGTACTTAATCACAAAATATTGAAATAAAATAATACATTGAACACATTATGATTGAAAATAATTAAAATTAGAAGGGATACAAAAATATATAAAAACATGTTAAAATGCAATATTAAAATGATTAAAATGAAATAATGTTTCATTATTCAAGATTTAATCTGTTGCGAATTTTGATATTATGACAGGTGACAAGGTGTTAATATTGTAGATGATAATTATAAGATTGAAGTAAAAAAGGGGGAACAAAAAGACGATACATCATAAACTCACGTGATCGCATCAATCATATCCAATCCCATCTCTACGCAACAGTGGGCATGATCGGGTCTTGGTTCTGGTAGACCCGAAACGCAATAGTAGCAATCTCCAAGGAGTTTTATTCTCAGGCAGTGATGCTCGGCAGCCAATCTGTCAAACCTGAAAAAAGAAAAGAACCCGAAAAAGCTTCTTCCAGGATTCCCTTGTGTCTGTGCTTTTGTATTTTCTTTTCTTTATCTTTTTTATTTGTTAGCCTTTTCAGAGTAATACCCGTTAGCCATACGAATCTATAGGTGTGTGCAATTTGTGTGTGCAATTTGTGTGTGCAATTTGTGTGTGCAATTTGTGTGTGCCATTTGTGTGTGCAATTTGTGTGTGCAATTTGTGTGTGCATTTGTGTGTGAACGAACAATCTTGATTCGATTTTCCACATTAATTGAAGCTATAATAATTAATTACAGATTCGTTGTAATATAGAAACTACAGAATCCATTATTAATCGCAATAATTGAGAATATTTCGATAATATATTCGATATATAATATATGGAATAATATATTTCATTATATTATTTTTTTTGTTTGTCCTTTTTCTTTCTCTCTGCTACGTAAGAGGAAAGATCGTTCGATATCTACGTGGGAAGAAAATACCGAAAGCAAAAAATGTAAAGCCATCGACGTGCTTTGGCAACAAGAGCACGTCGAGAAATCAGTCAGGGGTGTTATACACCCTTTTTTTTCACTTTTTTGTTTTTTCTCTTTTTACGGCTATCCTTCCAAACCGTCGATCTTTTAGACTGATGGTTTTTAACACGACTATATTGTAACGCGTTTCTTTTTTTAAAAAAGATATTAATAAGTAAATTAATTAGATGACAAAATATTACGAAAGTTAGATATTTTGAAAATTGAAAAAATGTAAAATCTAGATTTTTCCAAAATGGCTTAGCATTCGATATTTATTCGTGGATAGCTATAGTCGTGTATTATTGTTCAATTTCTATCCATTCATAGGTTTCTATGAAGCTAAAGCGAGAACCTTCATGAACAATAGTTCTATTATCGATTCATCGATATTCTAGATTTTGTCTACTATCGTAGAAATGTTCGAATTGGAAAAATAACGTTATTCTTTTGACATTTCGTTTTTCCATTGTCATATTAATAAATCTTACCGTGCAAATAATTCGTTTAGCAATCGTACAAGTTCTTCTGCTGTGCATTGGTCAGATAGTGACGTGAAACCACAAATGTCTGCGAATAAAATACTATAACAAGAAAGAAGACGTAAATAGTATTAAATTCCAAATAAAAATATGAAAAATACACAGAGACCAGACAAATATAAAGTTTTCTTTATAGAACATTTTGCATCGGTCGATATGCAAATGTGCATTAATACAAACATTGTACTCATGAGAGGAGAGAGAGAGAGAGAGAGAGAGTAATAAATCCTTGACGAATCTTCTTCAATTGCTATAAAATTTACTCTAAATTACATACATTCAAAGAAACATGGACCGCTTAAACGAACTTCTCAGTATTCGAACAATACTTCCTTGTCGTTTGCTAAATTACATGTCAAGTACGAGTTCTTTCTCTTTCTCTCTCTCTCTCTCTTTCATCTCTATGAGAAAATCTATTTAGTTGAACGAACAAACACAAAAGTCGTTAAAACGTTAACATTAACTTTAGAAATCCAGGTTTCATTCCTCTCTCTCCCGGTAAATATGATTTATACTAATAAATTCTTTTACGAGAGAAAGAAACTTACCTAACGTTTTCGTGCCGTTGAATATAGATCTTATGAAACATCGTGTCTTTTGGCTTTCCAGCAATGTCTGCTTTCATCTCCATTGCTACGTGTCTTGGAAGTACGCTCAGCAATAATCTTTCCTAAAGTCGGAGTAGAAAACTATTTATGGAATTTATTTATTTCAAATCTTTCATCATTTCCCATCTCTGCTGACATTTTTACAGGAATACATATTTTCATATTTTTCTTGTCAACAAAAGAATAAAAATTGTTCTTATATTCGTTGCCGCGATGAGTAAAAATACAACAACAAAAAATAGGTCGAACGATCTTATTTTAGCCAATCTTCAAAATTGAGTTTTCAACGACATCAATAACTTTTTCTTCTCGACGATCTTATATATCGATCCTATTATTATTTGATTTTTCTAATATTTCGATGAAATATTGCTTTTTTTGGTCTTTCTTTCTTTTTACCATTTCATATTATACTTGTGTTTTTTCTTTTCCTTTTTTTTTTTTGGATTACATCTCTTCCTGTATAGCTTTTGATAATCGAGGATATAACGCACATGTATACAGAGAAGGTTTACCTACGTAATACGTTCACATACGTACGTGTAATGCAAATATAGATTAATAACTCGTGAGAACCTACGACATAAAGTCTCATTGAAATTTCAAATGATTTCTCTCTCTCTCTCTCTCTCTCTCTCTCTCTCTCTCTATCTATCTCTCTCTCTCTCTCTCTCTCTCTCTCTCTATCTATCTCTCTCTCTATCTATCTATCTCTTTTGCACACATTCGCAAATTAATACACGCGCCCTTTATCAATTACTTCTGCTTTCACGAGTCTCGAAAATCGTATTGTGTTACGATTAGACGAATCGCATTTCGTTAAATAATCAGAGAAAAGTAATTATTATTGAAATCCACTTGTAGCCTTGGGTTATTTAAGATTTATTAAGTTGATTTAAGTTATATTTCCTCGATGATTTATATTAATACGTTATCGAGTTAAATTTACTCGTTGGATAATTAATGATTCGCTATACGGTTTCCTATACAATAATATTGTAGATATACATCTTGGATGATGTACATTTTACATCTAACTAGCTACGTGTATATCTATCTCTGCATATGTAAATATTCGATGATATGTGATACTATTTGAAAGTACATATTCGAATATCAAGAGAATATTAATTCTATGAATATTGAGAGTTGGCGTATAATACAAACGGGTTATATATTCGACATGTGAAAAAGTATTATTTAATTAATTCTATAAAACGGCATGCACACTCATTTACAGTATTCCATCAATGCGTGGGATTATATGAAATTGTGTATTTAATCAAAAAATAATATATTCTTTCATTTGTATTATATTATACACGATTAAATATTTATGTTACATTGATTTTAATATGTGAATTTCAATGATTGAATATTTTTTTTTCCTTAAAATATTATTAACAATAATGTTCTTATTTGTTTGTTCAAGTGTATTTTCTTTTCATTTCATAACTCTATTCGCGTGTTGAAAAATCGCTCGATTAATGGATAAATTATTAATCGTATATACATATGTGTACGTAGAATCGTTGAAATCAGCTTAGAAATAAATTCTTTCCTCTTTTTACGAGAAATATTTTCACATTCTTGCGATGTATTTCTTGTGAAAAAGGCAACCACTAAACATTTGATATTCCACCAAATATTGCCTTTCTACCAATTCACCGTTGAAAGCTTCCAAATCCCGTCCCAATCTCGAATAAAAGCCGGTAAAATCGAGTCTGTGCTATGGTTAACTCCAAGATTTTCTTTCCCAAAACCGATCTTGATTTTCTTTTTTCTTCTTTTTTTTATTTTTATTTTTATTTATTTACTTTTATATATTTTTTTTCTTTAAAAAATGTGTGTACGTTATTTATATTACATGACAGGAACAAATGTTCATAGAAAGAAGAGAAGGTAAAAGAGAAGATAAGGAAGAACGTTTTCCAACGTTGGGAGCGATTCATCGCAATGTAAATATGTCAGAGAATGGCCGTTGCGATGATTGACGGAAACACATTTTCACTTTAGCATACTTTCTCTGCTTGACTTGGCTTAACTTAGCTGCTTTATTTTTCAACTTGTTCCTCTAACTTGTTTTTCATTCTAAATTACGAGTCAGTTCATAATTACGTACGTATTACATGCATTGAATTTCCTAATAAATAATGTCACAATTTGTAATAATTTATATTTCAATCTCTTTTATTGATATGATTAATATTTTGTATTTAAATAAACACGGAATTATTTTTGCTTACTAGGATATACTATTTTTTAGTTTTTTATGCCTAATAAATAAATGATGCTTATATTTTTGATATTAAAAATTCCGACATTATTTATTAACCAATCGAGAATACGAAGCAATGCTTTAAATTTAATTTCACTTCGATGGTGGACAGTAAAGGGATTCGTATAAAAGTAAACGTATACAAGTCTTGCCTGTTTTATTTCGATCGATTAATCGAGAAAAACTTTAAAGCACAATTGTCTAATGAAAAATTCCGATCAGATGTTTGCATTTCTCTCGACATTTTCCTACGAGCAATGGCAGAGATGAGTATCAACACGTTACATACAACACGTTTGTGCGATTTTTGATTAAGTACACAATACCTCGTAGAATTACAAAGTCTTCCACGACAATGATAAACGAAGAAAAGTGTAATCATTAAAATGTAGATTAATGAATGTTCAATATTTATTATTCTTACGAATATTTGATTGAATTCGTATTTTTGTCTGTACTTTGTAATAAAATAAATCTCTTCATAAATTGTATATCACCCCATCATGGAAAATGAATTTTAATATTGACTATAATAATCAAATGGACTATTTAAATGGACTATTTAAATGGACTATTTAAATGGACTATTTAAATGGACTATTTAAATGGACTATTTAAATGGACTATTTAAATGGACTTGTAAATCATTTTAATTGCATTCGATTTTCATTCGTCACACCGTATTTGCCTTTTACCATTCTCGTTCTGGTTACGTATGTTATTGACAGTTTTTGATCGCTTTTACCAAAGCCATCGAACATAGCGAACGTTTTTAAATAACGATTCAGTATTTTATAAAAAAAATACGAAACGTATATCCCCATAACGATAATTACTTTTAAACATATTATGTATCATGCAATTATGTAAAAATGCAAGATCCAAATTTTCCTTATCTTGTCAATTCATTTGTTAGCTTTATTTCATTTCTGTTTTTTTTTTTTTGGAAAAAAAAAGTAACCAGCAGCAGAATTATTAATAATCATTATACAATTTTCACATTTTTAACGAATGAATTGGCAAGAAGAAGAAGAAGAAGAAGAAGAAGAAGAAGTAGAAGAAAGAAATGCTCAATTGGCGTATAATCACATAAGATTAACCGTAATTTCGTAAGAAAGACCCTTTTATACATATAAGATGAGTCAAAAGTTTCTAAGCTTATAATTTAACGAATTGATGGTAAGAGAATTAGCTTGATAAAGAAAAATTGTTTTTGAAAATCACTTATAGGAACTTTTGGCCAACCTTATATTACCCAATTGACCTATTAGACCGTTATTTTCCAATTACTTTAACTAGTAAAATGATCGAAGAAAAAGAATCTTATAAATCACTGACATTCGATAATATATTGGACTGAGAATTTGATTTGAATTAATTTATTTCTATTTGTAGAGTATTTTTTGTGGTTAAATATTTTCGAAATAGATTAGGCGAAGCTTAAATAATAGTCGGTGTAAGGTTTTCACGATATAGAATTTATATTATAATATTGTTTATATTTTTCGATATAAAATGAAATCGATACATACCTGTTGCTGATTTTCTCGTTGCGTTGTTAATCGTGCCTCGACGCATTGTCTAGTTTCAAGGAATGCTTGCCGTTGTGCTAATTCCCTAGGATGATGAGTTAGGGCACCAGCAACATTCGTCCCACCAACCACGACGATAGAACTTAGAAGCTGCAACCGAACAATATTTTCCATTAATCGATCATTCTCTTCTCTAATATTTGTTAGAAATTTATAACGATTAGAAAATTGTCTCGCAAATATTAACTTTGGTTAAACATTTAAATTGATTAATCGATCATATTCCTGTAGTAGATGTGTACAATTGTCACGATAAAGTTGTTCATTTTAATCGTGACCTTTTTTTTCTTTTTTTTTTTTTTCATTTTATTCTAATGACAGTAATTGTTTGTCGTATTAAAAAGAACAAAAGGAAAAAAGAAGAAAAAGAAAAAAGAAGAAAAAGAAAAAAAAGATATGAAATTAAAATCGTTCGTTTTCTTAAGAAATTCATGAAGTCTGTGTTAAAAACTCGAACTCGTTTCTTAAATGACTTTTCTTTTAAGTTAATCCTTTTTAATCAAATTCTATTTGTTTTATTAGTTAAATGTCGGATGGTAACCTCGGATCAAAGTTTCAATAGAAGATCTTTTTAAATCTCGAGTTACTACGTTTCGATTATCTTATCTTATCTTATCTCTCTTGACTAGTTTCGATTAGAAAAAAGGAATTAAAAAAAGGAAAAAGTTTCTTCAACAAAACGCGTATTTCTTTCTTTCTGTTTCTTCTTTGTCTCGTAGTATCGATGAATAGCTGCATGAAAAATGAGCCCGAAACCCGACTGCTGGATTAGAGCTTTCGTTTAAGGAGAAGGATCGATGAACAAGACGACTACTAAGAAAGCTTTAATACCGGATTAGTCCTTTATGAGCCTGTGGATCGTAGAACTTGCTACGATGGGAAAGTTTAATGCCGGATTAGTAAAGTGGTGAAAGAAAGAAAGGAAGTGGAAATGAAGAAAAAGAAATTTAAAAGAAGAAGGAAAATGAAAAAAAAGATATACGCGTATAGACTATAGTTTTTTTTTTTTTTTTTATGGGGTATGGATGCAACGTACGTGCGAGTAGTATACCTATACGTGTATACCTATACGTAAGAAAGAATTGAAAACTTTTCTATTTATTTGTCTATTATTCGTGCTTTCTGTTATTCGAACTCTCCTCGAAATTAGGAGAGAAACTTTCGTCAAATTACGATTAGATACAAATGGGATTGCTACCTCTTATCTCGCTAGAAAAATCCTAGTAAACTAGTCTGTTAGTGCAGTAGCTTTTACTACGATTACCTATGCTCAAATGATTTCTAATCGAAAGTTAATTTATTAGTATCATTCAAACGTGTTGTTATTTATGATGCATCCTTTATGTTTCATTTGTATTACATTAGTTTTTTACTTTATATAGAATAGAAAAAAAAATAGATAGTTAATAGAAATTAATTTATATTATATATACAATAGGATATCATTTCGATAATTCTTTTCGATCGAACGTTTATTCTGGTACTAAGAATATAAACTATTTCGTGATTTCAGGTTGAAATATGTCACCAATGTATATTGTACCGATTGTAGAGTTTGTTGATTACATTGATATGAATTCTCGGCATGGATTCGAGCGTAGTTCGGACTCCAACGTTATTCGCATAGTAATCACCCAGGGTAATCATAACTCGTAGAGATAGAGATAAATAGAGAGAGAGAGAGAGAGAGAGAGAGAGAGGTAGAGTTCATCGTCATTCGCAACGTGAGAAATCTAGCAAAATTTCCAAATCCAGGTTTCGTACGATAGTACGAAAACTTTCCTTATTCTCGCGTTAAACTATTCGAACATTTTCTCTATAATGATATTTTAATTATAATTAGTATGTATAATTTTCACGATAAGTTTTTTTTCGTCTTATTTTGTAGTATTCCAAATTGTATCGTAACGATTGATAGGAACGCGACTTGTCATATTAATTAGTATTTAAATATAAATAGAAAAAAGAAAGAAGGTTGGTTCTCTTGATCTTTGATAAATAAAAATATACATTAGATTCGAAAATTCAACAAGCATTTGTACATTTTCGTGATAGTAAAATCTTGAAACGAATTTCGTTGCAACCACCTGTAGGATCGTCAAATTTCCACGACATTTTCCTCGATATTTTCCTCGATATTTTCCTCGATATTTTCCTCGATATTTTCCTCGATATTTTACACGTCGAAACTATTGCGATTTTCTCTTATTTGTACTGAAAAATATTCTACGATAAGATTTTCGGTAGAAGAAGAATAAGAAGAAAAAAGCGAATAGAAAAATTAAATCGATCGTAGGAACGATCGATAAGAAATAAACTCTTGCCGTCGTGAAATATCGTTAGTAAAATAATAACAATTATATTGGTGATAATTAAATTTAACGAATACGTATCATTTCAATTATGAGTACTAATTATAACGTGCATGTGGAATTCTAATGAAATTAGAAATTTGACCTGTTCAAATATTTATAGAGTAACGTGGAGGAAAAGAGATCATTTTAAAATTAAATTAAATTAATATCACATTACACAATATGTTGTTTGAATATTACGAATTAATTATGTGTATTGAATGTGCATAGAATTTTAACAGAACTAGAAAATTAGTGTGTCCAGTTATTTATAGTACAACAAGACCACAGAGAGACATAAAGAGAGGGAGAGAGAGAGAGAGAGAGAGGAAGAGAGAGAGGAAGAGAGAGAGGAAGAGAGAGAGGAAGAGAAAGAGAAATTCGTTTCACGAATGTCAATTATTCAGAAGGTATCCTCGAGAACTTCCCTTTACGAACGTGTAACGTGTAACGTGTAACGTGTAACGTGTAACGTGTATAAGTTAAGAGACATTGCTCCCCCTAAATCTTTGCGAATTTAGTCCTGCAATTATACGCAATTGCTTAGAACCCTTCTTTAATATTGTATGTTTGAAATGTTCTTTAGTAGTTGTTTCTTAACAAGTTACAAGATAAATTGAAGAAAACCTAGTCGAATTTATATTGCATAATGAAAGTTTTATTCACGAATATAATTGCATTGGGATGTAATATCAAATGAAAAAGGAAAAATAAGAGAAGACATTTCTGTTGTAAAAAACATTCTTTCGATTTTTCGGCTTTTCTCTCTTTTTTATATTTTTTTGTTTGTTTTAATTTAATTATAATCGTTCAATCGCAACGATTATATATAAAGATGAATAATCTACGAATAATTGGCGATTCGAGCATACGGAACTACTCTGGCAGTTTCGTTAAGTGGATACCAACGTAGAAATAAATTACTTTGGTTCTATTGTACAAGGAAAATAGAGAAAGAGACAGAGAGAGAGAGAGAGAGAGAGAGAGAGAGAGAGAGAGAGAGAGAGAGAGAAAGAAAGAGACCTTTATCTCGTGAACGTTTATCGCGTACTGGTAGTCTATTCGATTAATGGTTTATACTTGAAAATATATAAATTTGAATGAAAACGTGTCAATCAATCAATTACTTGCTGACTTACAATCAGTATCAAAACGTTTAAACGTTTAAAAAAAAAATGTTTACGTGCATAAATTTAGGTTATTTCGAGCTGCTCGTTCTCTCTTTGTTTCTCTCTCTCCTATTTTCACTTTCTTTTAGTGGGTGAGTCAACCAAGAGGCCATTGTTTTAGAAATTGTTTCGTAGAGAGGGAAAAAGTGGACGATCTTACGTCATGGCTCGTTGTAGCGTTTTCGCGTCATTAAATCGTCGGAGTGTGTGGTCCCCTTGAGTAGTTCACATTGATGCCAAGAAGTAGAGGTCTTAAAAAGAAAAAATCACCACCACCCTCTCGGACCGTTCACCAAAGGGTCAGAAGAGGACTTCTACCAACGCGTGCAACAAAATATCGATTTGCCCTTTTCTCTGCTACTTTCATTTTATCCTTTTTATTTTCTCCCTTTTACTTCTACTTTTTCTTCTTCTTTTTCTTTTTCTTTTTCTTTTTCATTTTCTTTTTCATTTTCACCTTGCGTTATATTTATGAAACGTTTTTGATAACAATTTAACCATTCATTTTGTTTCATTTTATTCGTACGGATAAATGCTAATTGTTGAATTTTTCTCCAATTATTTAGTTTCTTATATATATTTCCCTAGATATAATTTTTTTTTATAACTACGTAATCCTCTATAGCACAATTAATTTGCGAGTTTATATTTTTTTCTAAGAGCGACGTTAATTGTTGAGCATTAATACTTGTTAAGAAAAACCCCGATAAATTTGTTCTATCTTATGTTTTTTTTTATTTTCTTTTATCTTCTCATAGATATATTTTTCCTCGTTTTACATTTTATATCCGTATATATAAAAATTTGTTTATAAATATATATTATTTATTTGAATTTTTTCTTGTTGCATCTCTTCCGTTCTCTTTGGTTTTTTTTTTTTTTTTTTATAAACGATTAGAAATAATAAAGAATTCCATTCGATAGTAGTAGAATGCTTGAAAAAATCATTGAAATAATTGAAGAGCGCATGTGGAGAGGAAATAAAAACGATTCGTTTTTGTAAAACTTCTAAATTGACAAGCGTAAAATATTTACGCATGTACTACACGATATTACACACGTCATATGTATCATATATATATATATATATATATACACACATATGCACATAGCTTTCCATATTTAATCCGATTACAAACGAAAGGCCGTAATACTCTCGTTGTGCAACGAAAACCGACGGCCGTAAATAATCGACACAACGAAATTATTTTTCCCTTTTTTGTTTTCTTTTTTCACAATCCTTCAACCGTTTCAAAATTTTCTACGAACTTCATGGCTGGTCAAAGACTAACGTGAACTTTTTCCTAGAAATACGCTGAGAAAGAGAGAGAGAAAGAGAGAATAAGTACGAGATTTGTCGAAAAAGAAATAAAAAAAAAGAAAAAAGGAAAAAAATTCGGATGAAAGTATGCTAATTTCGTGTTAAATCGAGGAAATTGCACTTTGAATGCGTATAATTAGAAGAGTAAGAACAAAAATATAATATAATTAATATATAAAAATTCCCGAGATGGGGTAAGAAAGAAAAGGGGCAAAAATAAACGAATAAAAATCATCGATTAAAAAT